GGAAAACCGGAAGTCTCTAGGTCTGGGCCCTGCGAGCACTTTCCAGTGACAGGTTGTGGCAAGTTTTTACCCTTCCTACGTGTTCCCTAGTGATTCATGTCACACTGCATGCTCTGATCCGGGCAGATGCCTGCTCTGTTTAAATTGTGGTCATTCTTCCTCACACAGACAGCAAGGGAACACGTTCGGGATTTCACTGCCGATGTTCATTCATTCCGGGAGCCAGTGTATCTGTCATGACTTCTTTGGCGGCAAGTGATAGAATCACAACTTCAACCAGCTTTAACCAAAAAGTTGAAAGGGAAGCTGGGTAGTTGAAGGTGTGAAGCTGTCTTGAAGGCAAGCTTGGATCTAGGAAGGCAAACCGAGAAGTCGCTCTTTTCTCTCCAGCTCCTGGCTCTGCCCTCCTCTGTTTAGTCTTCATCCCCAGGTGGTCTGTCCCAATCCGTGGCAGAGAAGACCACACAGCTGCGGGCCTGAATTCCCTACACCTGGAGATTCCAGGTGAGAAAGGCAGCCTATCTCCTTGTAGTTCTAGCAGTGGCCCAGAGGGGGCACTCATAGCCTAGGTAAACCACAGGATCTAAGCCCAAGGTGAGCAGTCAAATGCATGCTTCCCCTGCAACCAGGAGGGCACCTGCAGCACACCATCATTCCTTCCCATTCTATCAAATGAATGTCACGACTTCTGTTTTGCATGTCTCACTTCATTCGTTTGCTAGGGCCACCACAACAGAATTTCTGTCAGCAGAGCTGGTTTCCTCTGTGGCCCATCTCCTTGGCTGGTGGATGGCTGCCCCTTTGCTGTCTTCTTACGTGACTGTCCCTCCATGCATGGGCTCCCTGGCTGTCACCATATGTCCAAATCTTCTTAGGAAGACACCAGCCAGATTGGATCAGGCCCTACCCTGACAGCCCCATCTTAATCTAATCACCTCTTTAAAAAACCTATGTCTAAGTAGAGTTACATTCAGAGGTACTGGGGGTTTAGGGAATCAAGATATGAAATGGGAGGGTGAGGACACAGTTCAACTAGCAAATGGCAGGGCTGAGAGTGCCCTGAAGGAGGCTGCGTCTAACCCTTACCCATGACGCTGTACTGTCCCTGCTGGAGCTCATGGCAGCATACCCGGAGGCAAAGGCTTTACAATTCTCAGCAGTGGGGAAAATGAGAGGCTGTATCTACTGAAAACCTCAGTGAGGTCCAGGGACACCCTGTCTATATGATGCCCCAGGAGGATACCACTGGTATTCGAGAGTCTTGGCTATCAGCCGAGCTGTGGTTCAGCAAGCCCTGTTTGTCGTCAAGGAATCTTGGGTTTTCTTCTCTCTCTGCAGCATTTTCAGATTGTTTCTCTTGGGCTCCCCAAAGATCAGGTATCGTGAGGACGTTGAGAAAATACGAATCACCTTCTCTCTTCCCTTTTCCATCAGGTAGACCCGCATTTCCCGAAGTGTGGAATTCAGACAATTGGTGAAAATGTGAGCTGTGTTTAGATGTTACTTAGATCAACATATTTGGAGAGTTATGAATTTATGTGAATTTGTATTAAAAACATATAACCAGGCCAGGTGTGGTGGTTCACATCTGTAATCCCAGCACTTTGGGAGGATGAGGTAGAAGGTTATTTGAGGTGAGGAGTTCGAGACCAGTTTGGGCAGCGTAATGAGACCCTCCCCCATCTCTACAAAAAATTAAAAATAAAAATTAGCTGAACATGATGGCACATGCCTGTAGTCTCATCTACTCAGGAGGCTGAGGTGGAAAAATCGCTTGAGCCCAGGAGTTTGTGGTTTCAGTGAACTATGATCACACCACTGCACTCCAGCCTGGGCAACACAGCAAGACCCTGTCTCTTAAAAAAAAACAAAACAAAAACCAAACAAGCTAACCCAAACAAAAAGACCCACATGAACAGTCCTACAAATCTGCACTTTTCACTGGCATTAAAACAGAAACATCAGATACATGTCATTTGAAAGAAAAATATCGAGTAAATAGTATTAAGAAAATAAATAATTTGACAAAATAATGAAGGTGATGCTTGAATGACTCAAATCTGGGATGATCCGGACGGTTCCTCTGAGAAGGAAATGCTTCTGGCTATGGACATAGATGTCATGCAATTTTAAGCCTTGTGTATCTGCACATTTAGGTCTAATTTTCCTTGAGGCTGACTATAGCTGGTGACTTCTTGCCTTTGGTTTCTCTTGTCTGTGTCTCTGGACCAATCATATTGGATGAGGGCAAGTACAGAGGTGAAAGGCTCGTGGGTGGTGGGGAGAGTCTGACCCTCTTCTGCATAGCCCAGCACTGTATTCATTTGGAGTCTTGTTACAGGGCTTCTGAGTGGCTTGGCATCGCCCATAGCTGAGTATGTAGGCAGGTGTTTATCACTGTGCAGTCAAGATTTTTAGCAACTCAAAGTCCGATGCGGAACAATACATTTAAAACTGAATTCCACATGGAACTGGCATAATTCTGTGAGATTAATTGCTATTAATTTTAGTCGCGCTTTTGCCCCCTTGAATTTTGCTAACAGTGCTGAATAACAGTCTTTTACTCCACGTTTGGCTCTGTGGCCAGCTACAGCTGCTGATACCTTCCACAGCTGGTGCCCATGTCCATGAACTGGGTGTCTGTTGAGGGTGAGGGCTGCAGGCACAGGACAGCTGGCTTCTTGTTCTGATCTGCTCGAATGCTCAGCCAGCCTGTATCACGGCTGCGAATTACAACTATTGTATTATTGGCTTTAAGCTCTAACCTTCTGTGGTTTCTGTGGCCTCCCAAGTCATGAGCTGCTTTACTGATGCAAGGCTGATCTCCAGTGTCCAAGGGGTTGCATATGTGGGGAAAGGCCCCCTTCTAGAATTTCAGTCTGACTCAAAATGTTCTGTCTGTCCATGAAAGGAAGGTGGGTGAGAGCAGTGCTTTTCACTTCACCATGTGCGTGAATCACCTGGGGATCTTATGAAAATACAGATGCTGATTGGGCAGGTCAGGTGGGGCCTGAGGTTCTGCATTTTGCACAAGCTCCTGGGTGATGCTGATGTTCCTGGTTAGGAAGGACACTTTGAGTGGCAAGGCCTGGAACCATTCTTCCTACACCCAGCGTGTTGACAACCACAGTGCAAGCCAAGCACCCTCCTCAAAGCCTGGATGCATGAGCGGTGTCCTTCCAGACTCTTTGCATGGCTGGCCCCTGCCTTCCCTCCCACCTCTTCTAATCTCACTCTCCCCTGCATTCGCTTCACAGCATCCTCATTGGTATTTCTGGGTCCTTCAATAAGCCAAACTCTTGCTTACCCCAGGGCCTTTGCATCCACTGTTCTCTGTGCCAAGAATGCTGCCAACCCCACTCTTCCCCAGGTACTTGGTTTTCATCCTTCGATTAGCATACAAAGTGAGTTCCTTTCTCACAGTATCTATTTGTTGTCTCTGTAGCAGTTATCTTCTTGTGCCATCTCTTTTTCTGTTGCCTTATTTATAATTCGTTTCTCCTTTAGACCAGAGTCCATGAGGAAAGCCCATACCTGCATTCCACACTGTTGTATCCTCCGTGCTCCTGCCTGGTAGGAGACACTTGCTTATGAATATTTGTTGGCTGCATGTGTAGGCATGGAGCAAAGATGCATTCTGGAGTATCTTTTTGCACATTTCCGCCACCTGTCTGGAGGGCTGTGTTGGGGATGAAAGTTAGCATTGGTTTTTATTGAAGAATCACAGAATGAGAGCTCAGAAAAGGAGCTACTTTTAATTCTAAGCCACATCTCATCTTCAGAGATGTCGAAATGTGAACAAAGTGTGCATCTTTGAAACAGATGAATACAGTAAGTCTAGTATGTCTTAAACAGAGATCATGTCAAAATCATTTATAAAATATTGGATTAAACAAAGGTACCGTGGTGGAACTTCTCAGGACTTTTGGCAATGTGCATCATGAGTTTACAAGAGAAGGGACATGATGTGCTCTTTCACGGCATAGTGGCTGTGGCAGAGGTGCTGTAATTCCCTCACCCAGAGGCCACTCATTTTCTGCCCTGCTCTCTTCTTTGTTGGTAGAGGGCCTGCCTCCCCTTGTTGAGGCTGAAAATGCCAAACGCCCAATTGCCCAGCCTCATTACAGCAGAAGCATGGACATATTCCTAGTTCTGGTCAGGTGGGATCTGAGCAGAAGTCTACTGAGGACTTTGAAAAAGTTTTTCTGACTGCAATAGACATGTAATAGACTTTCTTGTTTTTTGATGTGATTATATGGGGATGTGATGCCTGGAGCACAGCAGCCTCTTGTAAACATAGGGGACATGCTGGCTGAGGACAAGGGCTAACATGCTAAGGATGGTGAGGTACAGAGATGCAAACAACCTGGGCTCTGGACTCCATTCCTGAGCTGCTGAATGTACTAACTCTGCACCTTGGACTTCTGGTTGTGCAAGACAACATGTGATCTCACCGTTGAAGCCACTTGTAAAAAGACGGTCTCTTTACCTGCAGCTGGAGGGATCTTGCTTAATAAGAGTGATAAGACGGTCTCTCTGAGTCAGACAGGCTGGAAGTAACTCCTGGCTCTACCAGGGGTAATTATGGTTTTCTTCAAAGCTGTTTACTCATTTAGGAGATGGAGATATTAATAATGGCTACTTCTTGGGTTGAAACAGAAGCTTAAATGAGATAATGGGTGTGAAGTGCTCACATAGAACTTGGAACATTGCTGGTGCTTAGCAATAAGGAGCTATTATTATTATTATTATTATTAATTCTGATCACAGAACATCTTTGTTGTTGAAACATCCTCTACCATCTTGAGGGATCCTGCATTCTACAGAAAACAATCTGAGTGATGTTCACTTTTACCAAACTTTTTTTTTTTCCAGGAGAAACTGAGGTCAAAGGAGTGGCTGCTGTTTCAGTGCTTTTATTTTGAAAAATGTGCAGGGTTCAGCCTTTTCCCATGTCAGTCATTTCCACTCCCACACAAGAAACAACAGAAGGACACAGGTTTGGGGTTGAAATGATGTGCTTTTATGGGAAACAAAAATATCCAACAACAATAACAAAATCCCTTCAGTCTCGCCAAGTTCTTAACCACTGACAATGAGGCAGCTTCAGTGTTTGCATCTTGCTGGGGACGTTTCTAAAGGGTCAGGAGAGTGAAAAGACATTGGCCAAAAAGAGAAGTTGCAGGGAGGGCTGACATCCTAAATGAGAGCACAGCCAACTTCCCTCTGGCCCTCACCCTATCACCCCTTCCACTTAGAATCTCCTCCCAATCTACAAAGATCCTTCCGCTGAATTTTCCTCAGATGCAATCTCTTCCAGAAGGCTTTCTTGGTCTGCTGTAACTGCATATGACTTTTCTGTAACATTACGTACACTTTCTCATTCCTTCTCTGCTCACTTTCTGCCTTACGTCCGTTATGTTTGGGTACAGCCTTACGATACCCACTGGTAGTAGGCATGCCCCTGAGACCCAGTCCCAGGTAGACTTACCCCGGTGCTCCCCTCCCCCTCCCCCATTCAGTGCTCAGTATTCAGCAGGTGCTCAACATCAGAGGTGCTCAGTGAGGGTTTGTTCAGTTTAAGTCAGTTCTACATTTGCCATGTCACATCACCAGCCTCTTGAGAGTCATTATTGTCATTTTCAATTCTTCATCCTTCCTCCATGACCTCAAGATGGTCCAACTCAAGGCATCTCCAAGAAGGAACAGCTCCCACCAAACATTGCCCACTCAAAGGTGAAAGGTTTGGAGAGGAGAAGAGAGGTTAAGCCTTCTCCCCTGTTCAGGGAGGTGAGCAGGCAGAAAAGGAAGCCACCGGGGAAATCCAGGATGGCCATGAGTGCTGTTGGCCAACACTTCATTTTGAAATCTCGTAAGCAGCCACTCTTCCAAAAGTTTCCCCGTGAAACATGGCTAACTTTTCAGCACAAGCTGAGGACTGGTGGAGGTATGGTATGGTTGTCCTGCTAGCCCACAGACCAGAGGCATAGATCAAGAACCTTTCTTTGGGACATGGCCTATTTTCTCTCTGAAGGGTAGTGAGAGTTGTCTGGTTGATCGGTTGGAGCTCTGGTGGGAACGTTAGCCCTGCGGTGTTGAGTTGTCAGGCACATAGATTGTAATAAGGCTAAAGAATACAGGCTGCCATCATGGGCCTCTCCTTGAAAGTGGGAAGGGTCAGGAGGTGCTGGGAGCAGTGAGGGAGAGAGGAGGATCCCAAGAAAGCCTGCAGCTCTGATTCTAATAGGGTCCCTGCTCTATCTCCCACTTCCACTCCCTCTTCTTTCCTCTGGTTCTCCAAGTCCAGGTCAGGCAAAGGGGCCAGCTGGAAGTGGTAGAGGGAAGGGAAGGGCCTTTTTCTTTTCCTACTATGAATCCTAGATTTGGACAAGGGAGAGGCTACAATCCAGGGCAGAAGGAGGAGGGTTGAGGAGCTGAGGAGAAGCCTAGGCCCTGTCCACTTCTGTTGACCGGTATAATGACCAGATTTGAGGCTCACACTTTTAACTGCATTGCCCCCAGAGAGCACTGAGCTCCTAACTGGGGTGTTGAGAAAGTTCTTCGTGGGTGCTTAAAGGCGCTCATTGAGTTGGGGAGATTGCTGCAGATCTTCCCGTGGGAGGGCCCCTCTGGGGCCAATAAGGTGTGGAAACCACGTGGTCAGCATGAGCCCTAGAAGTTCAAGAAAGGGGCCACAAAGCAAAGACAAGAGAGACTTCTTCAGGCACCTTCTTTAGGAAAGAGAGTTGGACCTTGGGGCACTCACGTTAGGACAGATGTTTCAGTATAAAAAGGATCCCCAATAAAAGGACAGAGTCCCCTCAAATCCCTTCCCAGATCCCACAGCACTTAGAAAAGAGAAAGTAAAGAGCATAAAAATATCTCGATGATGTGGGCTTGCCTGACAGCACAGAAAAGCAAGTCTCATGGCAGGCAGTGTGTCCCATTACACAAGAGAGGATTATACCGAGCTTCAGTAGAGAGATTTTACATATATCTTTATATAAATGCATATATATTTATAGAGCCTCTGCCTAGAACAGCCGGGCTTGCTTCTTCAGTTCATTCCTCTTCCACAGGGCCAGCCGGTCAAACTCGGAGATGGTCATGCCAAAGACTTGGTAGAACTCTTCCTGGGACAGATGGCGCTGAAGGAGGTGGGGCGGGAGAGGTTGGGGGACAGAGAGAGAGAGAGCAGCATGAGGATGGAAGATGCACAGGCGGGCGGAGGCAGCAGTGGGCGCTGCATGTTCCTTCCCACCTTGTGCCTTGCATGGTGTCTGAGCCAGAGGCATGTGTGATGAATACTTGTTCGATGGGTGAATATGGGAATGAATGCTTCCCCAGGGAGGACTCCCCTGCGCATGACTCAAGTGGGACTTCTGCTTCCACTACACACCCCTTGGTGCCCCTTCTTGACCCCTCCCCTTGATGCATGCCTGCTTCATGCATTTGTATCTGGAAGTGTGTGTGGCTTCACACTATCCCACTCCCCTTTGAAAGAAAAAGGAGGCATGTCCAAGATTTTAGGGGATATTTCCTCTTACTTATGTTTTAACAAATGATCTGGAAAGCTGTTCATCAGGCCAGTCAATGAAAAAAATTACTGCTTATAATTTTTGAAGCACTAAAATATCCTTTGATCTTTTTGTGATATGAAAACGAATATGCTTTATAATCAAGCCCTTGTCTGCATTCTATAGTAGATTTTCCCCTCTTTCTGGCCTCCTTTCCTTCCTCCCTTCTAAGCAGCTTTAAATGTGTGATACATTGTCAAGAGCTTTTAGTTAGAAATATACAGCAGTTAAAATGTGGCAAAATGTTAACAATTGGTGTATTCAGTGAAGTGTAGATGGATGTTCATTTTACTATTCTTGCAACTTTCCTGGAGGGCATAATATTTTTCAAAATGAAATGTAAAATTAGGTTTAAAAAGAGAAATATATGCAGAAATATATGCATATATACTGCCTGCAAACTTAATGGATTCACTTGAGCTGGATTGTTGGTAGCAATTACATGAGCTAATTGGGTACTGAAGGAGATTCAGTGAAAATTATGTATGTGACCACACAATAATTAGCCAGTTCTCTGGCTTGTTGTCACTGTGAACTTTTTTTTTTGAGACAGAGTTTTGCTTTGTTGCCTAGGCTGGAGTGTAGCGGCACAACCTCAGCTCACTGCAACCTCCTCCTCCTGGGTTCACTCGATTCTCCTGCCTCAGCCTCCCAAGTAGCTGGGACTACAGGCCCACACCACCATGATGGGCTAATTTTTTTGTATTTTAGTAAAGATGGGGTTTCACCATGTTGCCCAGGCTGGTCTTGAACTCCTGAGCTCAGGCAATTTGCCCTCGTCAGCCTTTTAAAGTGCTGGGATTACAGGCATGAGCCACTGCGCCTGGCCATGTGAACTAACATTTTCACCATACCTTCAGAATTTCAAGCAAAGGTAATATTGATAGTTTTTGTCAATAATTTCTGAAGTAGTAGAGCTGGGACCAATGTCCAGACAAAATGCATTACATTCTCACTGCCACTCTTACCCTGTTAAAAAAATTCATGAGTAAGTCTTTCTATTATGAAAAATGTCAAAACTACACAAAAGAGAGAAAATAGGACAAAGCCCATATCCATTATCCAGATCCAGTAATCGTGAGGTTTTCCATATTTGCTTCATTTATCTATTTTATTTGCTGATATATTTTAAAGCAAAGCCTAGACATTGGGTCAGTTTATTCCTATGCACTTCAGAATGTATCTCAAAACACACTGGATGTTTTCTCACATTGTGGTTACACAACGCATGAACTAACCCAAGAAACTTTAACAAGAATTCCTCAGAATTCCCCGATACCTGTCCATTACAAAGTTCCTGTCTTGAAAATGTCTTTTCGCAATTGGTATGTCTGACCTAGAACCGAGGCAATGCCCACACATCACATTTGCTTGTTAGACCCCTAAGACCCCGCCTCTTTCTCTGTACTATTGACTTGTCATGTTTGTGCTACTCAAGTGAGTGATGAAAGACATCTTGGCTAGGACAGATCTCATCTCTGCTCCTTCCATGGTAAAGACTGAGGGAAACTGCACTTTGGAACAATTTGTTATTGTTGTTGGAGGGTGATAGTCAGTATTGATTTTCTAGTGGGGTTTCTCTACCATGTTAAAAAATTTTTGTTATGCGGCTTGATATAAAGGAATAGTAGACTCAACCTCAAGTAATGCATTCACAATAGGACACATTGGAAGGTGACCAGGGCTTATCTACTCTAGGGATGAGCTGGGGCCTCCTTTCTCCCTCCGGTTCTCAAGGCCCCTAATGCTACTACTGTCCATCTGACATTTGCCACAGAAAGGAGTTAAAGCAGGAAGGTTAAGAGTAAATTTTTTAGAGCCAGGGAGATATGGCCATGTGACCATGGACAAGTTACCTGACTCCTCTTGAACTTCAGTTTCCTTTTCTGGAAAATGGAAGCATTCTAGTGTCTGCATCATGAATACCATGAAGGTGAATGAGCAGATACAGGTCCTGTTCTCAGCACTCAGGGGCACACGGAAAAGCACTAAGTCTGGTCACTCTCATGGTCACGGGGATCTTTTCATGCACCTCTTACATCGTGTGATCTGCTCCCAGTTTCCTTTGACTTCATCTTCTCCTTCCCATCTTTTTTGTGCGCATGTGACCCTAGACACACTCACCTTCTGCTATGGTCAAACACAACAAGCTCACTCCTGCATCAGGGTCTCAACACTGGCTGTTCCTTCTGCCCAGAAAGTTCTTTCTTCTTATAAAAGCATGCCCAACTCCCTCAACTACTTCGAGTCTTCGCTTAAATGTCATGCATCAATGAGACCAACTCCGATGATGCTGTTTAAAACTGCAAATCCCCTTCTCTTCTCTCCTTTTACTTTTTTCCTCAGCACTTATTACCTTCTAACACATGGTGCCATTTCGTTTTTTCTTTGTGTAAACAATATTGACACAAATAAAGGAGACACATCTTGTGTCTCCTCACACAAGAATGTAAGTTCCAAGAGGGCAGGGGTCTCCTGTTTTGTTCATTGATATATTTCTTGCAATGTATCAATGAACAAAACATACCTGAATGCTTCTGGGGGCATAGGAGGAGAGCTAGATTTGCTCCCTGCCCTCAGGGGTCCACAGTCTCAGGATTGTACATAAAACTAATGCTTGTAATGGGGTAAGAGAGGGGAGGCAGCACTGTGTAGATAAGCAAGGCTCAAGTTAAGCTCCTTCGGTTCAAACTGATTCTGTCATCACTAAGTGATCAGCTTTAGCCACATGACAGCCTTGATGAACCTCTGTTTTCTCCTCTGTAAGGTGAGGATGCTTCAATAAATATTTGTTGGATGAATGAATATCTATTCTCTGAGCTCCTTGAGGACAGGGTCACAGTTTCCCTTCTTCAATCCCCTCCTGGAACTAGTGCAGGAGGCTGTGGCAGTGTCTTTAGCCCATGTACCTCAGGCTACATTTTAGACATTGCTGGGCACTTTTAAAAAGTTCTGATGCCCGAGCTCTTTCTCTTTCCCCAAATTGTGATTGAATTGATCTGGGGTGGGGCCTCTGTATGTTATTTTTACAAAGCTATGTGGGTGATTCTGATGTCGGGTGATTCTGAGGAATGTTTCCATCCCTGAAAACTGGCTTCACTGAGCTGCCCTGGGAGCTGTCCCCTTCAGCACTGGTGGTCACTCTCATTTGAAGACAGTGAAAGGAGGAAGCCTTTGTTAAAATGTGAGTAGAATCACCTGCTTCTCGGGTGCTAACCCAGCGTGCTAGTGCTGGAAGGACTCGCAAAGCTTCCTGGCTCATGTGCATTCCCTTCTTTCTGCCCCAACCCTCTAACCTGGGCCAATTCCATGCCATCAAGTCAAGGGCAGCTCATATGCTCTTCCCGAGGAGTGCTGAGCCTCCTCTTTCAGAAGCCTGCACTCAACCCCACAAACGTTTCCTGACACTTCTCCCAGCCCAGACCCTGTGGGAGGACAGACAATGTTTGCCCCTAAGAAACTCAGGGTCAGGCAGAAGAAATGGATACATCCATGATCTGATACACAGGAGAGTGAGAGGTGCTTGATGTACTTTGGATAGAAGGCTGGAGGAGGCCAGAGGACAAGAGGAGTGACCCCTCCTGGAGGAGGGTTGCAGGAGGTTTTGGGGCACAGGGATTACTAGTGTGGGGTACTGAGGAGCAAGGAGGCTGATGAGATGGGAAGGACATTGATATGGTTTGGCTGTGTCCCCACCCAAATCTCACCTTGAATTGTAATAATCCCCACCTGTCAGGGATGGGGCCAGGTGGAGATAATTGAGTCTTGGGGGCATATATTGTCCTCCTGGTAGTGATAAGTCTCATGAGATCTGATGGTTTTATAAAGGGCAGTTCCCCTGCACATGCTATCTTGCCTGCTGCCATGTAAGATGTGACTTTACTCCTCCTTTGCCTTCCACCATGATTATGAGGCCTCCCCAGCCATGTGGAACTATGAGACCACAAAACCTTTTTTTTCTTTATAAACCACCCAGCTTCAGGTATCTATTAGCTGCATGAGAACAGACTAATACAGACATTCTAGGGAGAGGGAGAGAGAGGGAGAGGCACCAGGCTGTAAGGATCAGAGTATGCTCCAGCACCAGAGGAGGCCAGGGACTGGAACTCCACAGCAGGTGGTCTGGACTGCTCGAATGCCTGGCACCATGTTCAGGCCCACCTCTGCACCTTTGTTTATGCTGTTCTCCTCTCCGTCTCCATCACTCCCAAACTCTACTTGTCTTCCAAGTCCATCTACACCCTTCCTTTTCCTGCAAACCTGTGTTGACCACCTCAGGCCTTAGTGGTCTTCCCTAGACGACAGTAATCTAATGTTCATTGGGCACTTAATACGCAGTTCGTTGCCAGATGCTGTGTTAAGGGATTTATGAGTATTGGCTCACTCACCTCTGTTGGCAGCATGAGAAAAGCACACCAATCAATCACCCTCACTTTACAGAAAAGAAAACCAAGTTTCAGTGAGGTTGTCACTTGGCTAAAGCTGCCCACCTAGTGATGGCAGAATCAGAGTTTGAACCTTGGGTGTTTGACTCGAGACTTATTCATGCTTTTGTTCCTTCTACATAATGCTGCCTTGCCCTGTCTGCCATCACAAACACTAGTTTTCTGCACAATCCTGAGACTGAGGGTCCCTTGTGGGCAGGGAGCAAATCTAGCTCTCCTGCAATTCTGCAGAAGCGTCACCTCTAGTTGAGGAGTTACTGTCTCTGTGCACCACAGATGCTAACTGAATTGAAGAGAAGGCAGCAAAGTACAGCATGGGGCAGTTTCTGGGGGAACAGCATGGGGCAATTTTGGGGAACAGCATGGGGAAGTTTTGGGCTGAGGAAATTGGCTCAAATTCCCGCTTTTTCAAAAAGCTGTGTGATCTTAAAGCCACTCATTTCACCCAGCCTTCTTGAGCTGGGTTAGACCAAGCAACTTCTGAAATTTCTTCCAACCCAAGAGCTCCTGCTCAGTTTTCTAGACTTACCTCTAAACGGGTCCGGTCTACATCCTTGGGCAGTCGGTTTCTTCCTCTTGTAGTCACCAGCAGCAGTTCATAAGGGTAGATCTAAGGAGAAAGGGGGGTGGTCTCCAGCTTGGGTGAGGGTGGTGGGCTTTTCCTTTCAGGTATGTTTTGTGTCTGGTCTCTCTGTTCTATCCAGAAAGGGCCAGAAATTAAGTCTAGAGGAAGGGCTGGATCTGTCCTCCTTGAGGTTGCCCAGAAGCCTTAAGATACCTTCTCTCAAAAGGTAAGGCTCCACAGAGTCCCCTAATACTGCTAGGAATAAGCTTGGAAGTATTTGCCATGTGCCCATGGAATAATATAGGCACATGACCTCCCGAATGTAAGTGTCTAATATTTGGTGACTGGCAAGCCACCAGAGCATCTCTGAAGCCCAGGGAGGATATGTGATTTCAGTAGGCAAGAGACCTAGGGCAGGATTCAGAGAAAGTGGGCCAAGGAGGGACAGGAAGTGGTGGTCTTGAAAGGACCCTTGGGGTTATTTATCTATGTTCCCTTCCCTGCATGGACAGTGCTGTCATCTTCCTGCTGATCCCCAGTGTAGCAGCTCCAAGAATCCTGGAGACCCCCAGGGTCTATGCATATCCTTTACCTTGTACTCTGCAGAGAGAAAAAGAGACACATACAGAATGGAACCCATCAGTCTTTGCTTTGCATCACTACATGGGCCTCTGCCCTACTCTCTCAGGGGTTCTGGCCTCTATTGTCTCCTCCTCTTGACCACCAGAGACCCTGTCCTTTCTGAATTCACCCTGAAGGATAATCAAGGCTGGTATCAGTACAATGGAAGGCTGAAGATAGGGGTTGGGCTGATCTTGAAATGGTTCTAAGGAAAAAATAGCCTTTGAGATATTTAGAATAGAGACTAGAAGAATCTGCAATCTGAAACACATGGGCAAGATCCTCTGTCTTCTGTGGGGATCCTCCAAGGTTCTGATGTGGGCCCTTCTGCCAGAGCTTGTGTGTAGGAGCTGGTCAAAGTTGGTGTGAAAGCATCACTGGCAGAGAGCAGGAAGCTCATGGAATTCTTACTGGGAACAGTGTGCATTTGGCTCTGAGTGCTTCCCTTCACTAGGGTTGGCAGGCAACCCTTGCTCCACAGTCCAGGGAGAGGAGAGCAGCACTGTGTGATGGCTCTGGGAACCCAGATGGGACAAGTGGCCTGGAGATCGCCCAAGGCCAGGACTTGAGAGGATGAGGGAAAAGCAGGGGAAGAGGGAGGGGGTAGAAAGTGAAAGGGAGTAAGAACTCAGAGTTGGACACAGCCCAGCGTGGGGACAGAATCTGTAACCATCATTTGCTGAGGATCAAGCAGCAGTTTTGAGTGGTATGTCCGAAGCCCTCTCCCCTGCAGGCCCCCTGCAGGCCTGCACTCACCTCGCATGCCCCAGTTGACCGCGTTCATGCTGTCGTAGTGGAAGAGGTCTGCGCTGGGCGTCTACAGAAGAGACAGAGCCAGGGCTGGCCTGAGTTAAACTCACCTCTGCCTTCCTGAAGCACTCACCTATCTCCAGAAAATAGACTGGCACTTGTGAGACCTAAGGCCCTCTCAGCAGCCTCCATCTCAAGTTGGGGAAACTTAACTCGCTGCTATATCCCTGTGCTTTGTCCTGGCATACAGTGGATACTCAATATATATCCATTTATTTGGTGAATTTCACTTCATGCTTTCTTTCATTGTTCAAATATCCCTTTTTCTAGATTTGCCCTGACAACCCTGTTGGAAATTGCAAGTTGCTCCTTCCATGACTCTCAGTCCTCCTCATCCTGCTCATCATCTTTCTTTTTCCATAGCACCATGCTCAGGGAGCTCAGAAAACTTACAGGCTATGTTAAAGGCCAGTGGGGCATAGCAGTTGGAGGTGGACTGTGGGGCCAGCGGGCCTGGGCTTGAATCCTGGCTCTACCACTTCTTGCGGAAGTGAGGGCAAGTCACCTCACCTCTCTGTGCTTCTATTTTTGCATGACAGAGTAGGGTAAATGATAGTAACTACCTCTTTGGGTTGTGAAGGCAAAATGAATTAGTGCTTATAAAGTGTTTAGCTCAGTCCCTGGCACAGAGTTATCACCCAATAAGTACTAATTGTTCCCAAGCCTCTTTTCACTAAGGGGTCACCAGGGAGGGAAGCAAGTCATTGCCATGCAGTTATTTTGGTTGACCCATCACTAGCCCCAGGACCTTTGCACAGGTCTGATATTGGATTTATTTGCATTTTGGGGACAATGTCCCCCCACCACCCCGCAGCACGGCTTCTTACCCTGTGCAGCCCATTTCTTCTGTAGGCAGGCAGGGAGGCAGATTTGGAGATGAGAGGATCTGAAAAGAAGGAGCCAGAGCAATTACCAGGAGCCTGAAGCCATGGGTCCCTCTCCCCAAGGTCATCTGGCCACCAATGGCCAATATTGCTCCCAATCTTGTAGGAAGGGGTGGAGGCCAGAGGCCACCAACTCCTGATGCTCTCCAGGTTTGCAACTTGACTGTCTCAGGGGGCACTTCAGCAGATTTCTAGGTATCCGTCCAAGGCACCCACTCACACACTCTTCTATCCTCGACCTGCACACCTCTATCTTCCTGTGATAGACCCCTGTGTCCTGGCCACAGGCTGGCTCTAAACAAAGGCTCTGGAATTGAAGTCAAGCTCAGAATCCAGGTCAGAAGGCTCCCAGGTGGGTGGAAGAGGTGTGTGCACTTTCTTTCTCTCCGGGATCACCTGTTGGGATGTTAGTCCTAGTTCTAGAACCCCACATGGAGACCCACAATCTGACAAATACAATGGGGTGGACTATTAGAGGTCAGGAGTGTGCTGGGACATTGATACTGCATGGTCATTAGAGCTGTGGGGAACTGCAGCTGACATAGTGCTGTCCCTCATGGGACATGATGGGCTGAAGGTAGGGCAGGCAGAACTTACCACTGTCAGCCAGGTAGTGCGACCGAGGAGCTGCAGGAGAGAAAAGCTAAAGGTCATTGCTCATGAAGACAGACGAACATGGTGGAGACAGTTCATGGGGACAAAGAGACGTGGCTTCCATACCCAGTCCCCTTGGCTGGCTGGGAAGAAGGGCCTCCATCAGCCCCTCCTTCCTCACTGGTCAGTTTTCAGTTGTTGCACTTGCACCCCACGTCCCTCCCCTGCCCAGCTCCTAGTCTGGCAGCTGGCACAAGGCAGGTGCTCTGTGATTTTTGTTGCACAGGTGGGGTTGAAGAGGGTTGAATTTCAAACAGCACTGGTGCACTGCACAGAGCCCAGAGGCAGGGTTTGAAAACACTGGCCCTCAGTGGTCAGGCAGGGAAACAGTCTCAGCAGTTCACCTTGGCTCTGCCATTGGTAGTTATTTAATCTCAGACAATTTACTTAATCAAGGTTCGGTTTTCTCATCTGTAAAATGGGGAGTGATAGTGTCTCCTTTATAGGATTATTGTGAAGAATATGTGATACAATACAGTAAGATACTTAGCACAGTGCCTGACACATCTATAACACTCCATAAAACTGCCCTTATCATTATTGCCACCAACACGATCATCTTCAATCTAACTGAGAGTCAAGGTGTAGTAGGGGAAAGAGGGAAGAGCTCATGGCCTTGGGGCTATTCCAACTTGGGTCTGATCCTGGTTCAGTCACTTACTGGCTTTTGACATGGAGCAAGTGGCTTAACCTCAGTTATCTCATCAATAAAGTGGGTGATGATAATCCCTCTACCTTGCGGCTCTACCAGGAGTGTTAACGTACCTACGACTGCCTGGCACACAGAAGTATAATAAATGATGCATTTTATTAGCCCTAAAGTATTGATCTGAGATGAGATTTCCTGGCAGGACTGCATCCCGCAGTAGTAAGAAAAGGAGGAGACGGGTAGAGTATGTGTGTCTGTGTATGTGTCCAGGAACAGGGAGGAGCTTGCAATGAGACTTTCGAGAAGTATTTGAATAAAGCCCCTGCTTGTATTACTTCAAGTCATGGTAGGCTCAGTACCTCAGGAGGCCATCCCTTGCATCTTTGAGCCATTCTGATGATTATAAGACATTTTTCTTTACAGTGAATCTGATTGTAAGTCAGAGCTTCAGATGCCCCAAAGACATGGGAGTGACTGCTCAGGGCAGAGCATGGTCTTACATGGTGCCCCATATAGCCCCTTCCCAAATCTGTGTTCTAGACCTCGATGAAGCCCACAGAGTGGGGATTGTAGGGTTTGGGGCTAACCTTTGTGGCCAGTCTCTTCTGATTCTTTCATTAGCCCAGGGGATTGAGACTGGGCTGGCTATGTTCCAATAGAACCTAATTTATAAAAACAGGCAGGGAAGCTGATTAAGCAAGCTCCATTACTGATAAGTTGAGCAATCTTGGGCAAGTCACCAAAGGCTTCTGTGCCCTCACTCCCCGTCTGTATACATAGGGTGATAAGGGCACCCCCTCCCCCCAGGGCTGCTGTGAGGAAGAAGAGAGGAGGCATGGGCTGTGCCTGAGGGGAGCCTGGCTCATGAACAGCTGACACTGGCAGTCAGGGGTGTCCCCGCCCCACTGGGCTTCCAGAGCAGCGCTTACAGCCATTGAGGGACATCTCATAGCCAGATGTGTGCAGGGCCTCTCGGCTGCTGGTGGAGCTCCGGGGAGGGGTCCAGGGGTCTGCATAGGAGCTCGACCGGGCCTTCATCTCTTCCTTCAGAATCAGCCGGCCAATTCCACTCTGGAGCTGAGGGTCGGGGAAGAGCAAGATGAAGTTAGAAGGAAAACAAAGGACACTGAGATGGAATGGGCTTGGGCAAGGCTGAGGCTCGCATCCTCTACAGCAGCCTGCTGTCACGTTTGCCTTCCCAGCATCCCTCCCTCCTCGTGGCACCCATACTTCCCATTGGAACCCCATTTGGTCTTCCACAAGTTGTTCTGTGGTCTGGATGGGGGTCTGGTGGTGGGCACAAAAGAGCAGTCCTGGCCAGTGACAGGATCCCATTGTCCTGACACAGTGATTGATTCAACAATGGGCAGATAGCCATCTCTTTCTCTTTTGAGGTGAAAATTACTTGACTTCAAATTAACCATTTTAAAGAAAATGATTCGGTGGCATTTAGTATATTCACTATGTTGTGCAACCACCACCTCTCTCTCGTTTGGAAACACCATCGTTACCCCAAAGGACACCCTATGCCCACGAAGCAGTCACTCCCCATTCCACTCTCTCCTACCCTGGTAACCACCAATCTATGTTCTGCCTCTCTGGATTTGCCTATTCTGCATATTTCATGGAAATGTAATCACATAATACGTGACCTTGTGTCTGACCTCTTTTATGAAGCATAATGTTTTCAAGGTTCATCCACATTGTGACACGTATCATTACTTCATTTCTTTTTATGGCTGAATAATATCCCACTGTATGGACATACCATATTTTGTTTATCTATTCATGAGCTGATAGACATTTGTATTATTTCCATATTTTAGCTGTTGTGAATACTGCTGCCACGAATGTGCGTGTATATGTATTTGTTTAAGTCCTGTTTTCAATCCTTCTGGGTATATATCTAGGAGTGGAATTGCTGGATCATATGGCAATTTATGTTTAACTTTTGAGGAATCATGAAATTGTTTTCCACGGGGGCTGGAACAAGGGTTTCACCAGCCACGAACAAGGGTCGCAAGCAGCTGCTTACCATTATGTGAAAATAGCTTGCCTGAGCACGAAGCCAGTGCAGAGGTGCCCCACAAGAGAACAGACACATTTCCTGTGGCTGTTTTTGAGCAGTTGGATCTAGTCATACTTTAAGCTAATTCTACCATTTGATTTTTCAGTTATGCAAAAAGCTATGCATTTCTTTTTTCTATCACAGCGGGCTTGAATTTGTTGTTACTTGCCAGTGTGATCCTCAGTAATATAAACATCTTATTCAGTGGTGTGGCCTACTCACCTTGTGCATGCTGCGGTCAAAATCATCCTCCTCTCCAGATGAGAACCTTCTGGCTCGGGGCACTGTAAAAAGACAGATAAGACCAGCTCCAGTTTGTGCGCCCCACTCAGCCTGGCTTAAGGCATTTTTTTTTTTTTTTTTAAAGAAAAGCCACTTTTCATTGTTTTTAGTCTTATTTTTCATTGGAACCAGTCTTGTCTAAGCTAACCTCCACATCAGCTGAAAGTGGTCCCTGCTGCCTTTGTGGCTCTGAACACTCACTCCCGTGGGGACAGATCACTGCCCACTTGGTTATAGTTGTATTTGTGTCTTACCTCCTTTTCTAAATGAAGACTTCTTCGAGTGTAACACAAGAGTCATCCTTTCATTAAATTTTTAAATTTGTGACACAGGGGCTCACTCTGTCACCCAGTCTAGCATGCGGTGGTGTGATCATGGCTCATTGCAGCCTCAAGCCCCTGGGCTCAAGGGATCCTTCTGCCTCATCCTCCCATGTTGCTGGGACTACAGGAGTATACCATCATGCCCAAAGAATTCAAAAAAATTTTTTGTAGAGACAAAGTCTAGCTATATTATCTAGGCTGGTCTCAATTTCCCAGACTCAAGTGATCTTCCCAGCTTGGTCTCCCAAAGTGCTGGGATTATGGGCATGAGCCACTGTACCCAGCCCCAAAGAGTCATCTCTGAGCTTCCATGAATCTTTGCTCAGAATGGACACTCAATTAGCAAAGACGGTGAATCAGAGTGGATCTTGATGAAACTATCCCCACATACTTGAGAGGAACAGCTTGGGTTGTCTGATTGGGTAAGGTGGAATCTGAGGACCACTAAGACCCCTTACCAGGGTGCCTACAGGAGCCTTCATCTCCCGACATCCTCTCTTTCTTCATCCTCCAAATCACTTTTTACCCTACAGCCAAAGTGGTCTCTCAAAAGCACAAATGTGATCATGCCACTCACTGCTTAGGATAAAACCAAAATCCTTACCTCAGTCCACAAAACCCCAGGGGACCTCCTCCCTCACCTCTACTGCTTCTCTTCCTCTCTGAGTTCAAGGTTTAAGTGGACAGCCTTTCCTTTCCTCCGCTGGAACCCTCCCTCACGTCTTGGGTCTTTGCAGAGGTATTTCGACACTCTCTGCTGTGTTACGTCCTTGCCACCCTCCCACTGGCAGCTGAGTGGCTGCATCTGAGAAGCTTTTGTCATCTTCAGGCTGGACAGCAGGCCCCTGCCATCATCTCTCCTACCTTCTGGGCATCACCTCCATCTCTTGGCTGGGGCCCACGTCTTCTCCACAAGGGCAGAGACCTGGTCTGCTTTGCTCCCCAGCATATTGTGAGGGTCCATGGCCAGCGTTTAATACATATTTGTTGAATGAATAAACACCCTCAGTTACAAACCCTCTAAACACTCTGATTCAGAATGATTGTATAAAGGAGTGGGCAACTGTTCTGAACACCTGTGTCCTTGGTATAGGTGATAGGGTCCTGGCCCCAGGATCCTATGGGGGTGCTACCTTTGGGGGACCCATGGTAGGTCCAGTACTCAGACTCCGAAGCATAATAGGGGTCTGGCGAGTAGGCGGGACTGTACTTGGAGGCCTGGCTGATGTCTTCACTTGTTTTGCTCTTGGTTGCTGTAGACAAATCACCTGCAAAGGACCCAAGGAGAGTACTTCAGGAAGGCAGAATGTCCTGGCTGGGACTCTGTACCCTTTTCCTATCCATACCAGGCTCCAGACCAGGGAGTGAGGCCACTTCAAGGTCAGGGCTCTCTGTTAGGATAGGATGGGACATGGAGCATCAGAGCTGGAAAAGCACTGGGGCCAAACCCTCATTTTGTACTTAGTAATCGGAGCACTAGAGAGGGGAAGGGGCTTGCTGAAGACCACACAGCATGTGAGCACCAGAACTGGATCAGACCCGAGCCCAGGGATCTCTCCAGCACATTCCATGGATTCCTAGGTCTGTTCCAGAGTGACCTTTAAGGGTGTACCTCAAACAAGACTCGACAGGCCCCAGGTGAGCCCCAGCCCTTACCTTCCTAGTCCTTTAGAAGCCTGCCTTGTTATGAATTTGAACTCCATAATTTCTTACAACCTGAGATGCCACATTCTGTTCAGGGACTATATGGCCTGAAGGAGGGAGTGCTAGACAGGGATTCAGCAAACCTGGGTTCTGGCCCCAGCTCTGCCACTTTACTCAGTTGCAACACTGGGCAGGTCCTAACATCTCTGCCTCACTTTCCTCATCTGCAACTGTCAGAATTGGTCTGCTGGCTCAGGTGCCATCCAGCTTTAAGCTTCCACCTGTAGTAAGTCCAGGACAGGGGTAACCAGCAAGACCCACTGTGGTCACAACTACTTACAGAGCAGTGACTTCTAGTGGCCCAAATGTGGGTGACAGGCTGGTAGGGTAGAGAGAGAGGGGCTGGGGAAATGTGTGTGGCTGCATGACCATTTCCCATGGTCAGCTACAGGAAGCTTTAGGGACAAGCTCTATGCTCTGTGGAGCCAGAGTGGCAGTGGGTTGTGGTGTCAGCTTCAGCTAGCCCCGGGCTATGCAACCCCTGCAACAGCACTTGCTTCCAAATTCTTCTCTTTGACTTGGGTCCTGGGAAGCGCCTCCTGGCTGATTGCATTTAGCTTTTTCCTCTGCCCTCTTCTCCAAGCCCAACCCACCTCCACCCCAGACTCCTCTTGAATCTGCTTTAGTGCCACCCCTCAGAGCCCACCTGGAAAATCCCATGAAGTCTTGAGAAGCTTGTGATCTGGGGGCCTTTTCTAGACAGAAAACCAAACTACTTTTGTCAGGTTTGTGCCTTTCTATGGCTACTCAGGGGACATGGTATGTCCTTCATGGGCTGGTGTACATGCACACATGCTCACAGACTCACCTTGGACTCCCTGCTCAGCCCCCTCTGGAACCAAGGCTGTCTGTCTAAACTGTAGAATCTTAGGCACCCACAGCCACTATTTAAACTTGTACTGCCCCCTCCACCAGCGAATTAGTTCAGAACCTGGTGCAGGACTTCTTCACTCATCTCCAAGCTCCACCGATTCTGGGCTTCCCTTGGTTATCCAGCTAGACCCTTAAGCAAGTGAGGGTGCACAGAGTGGGAGCTGCTCCTCTGCAGCTTCAATGGAAGGGATGTGCTTGTTCAATCGAGGCTTAGTAAGTGCTTTGCACAAAAATGAACAAGTGGTGTTACTGATGAATGACTTGGTGGTTCTCACACTAAGTGCAGGTAGGAATCATGGACAAAGCCAGTTACAGTGCAGATTCTTAGACCACACTCTCAATATTTATACTTAAGGGAGTCTGGGGCAAGGAAGGGGCCAGCAAATCTGCCTTTTAAATGTCTCTCTGGTGCAGATGGTCCATAGACCATTTTTAAAGAAATACTAAATCAATGAATGAATGAAAGAAGGAAATGACCCTCTGCTCCTTACTCATCTACATCTCCTCTGCAAGTCTCCATCCACTCTCAGGAGACTGTGACTGAGAACAACTTAGAGCAGGGATTCCCAAGCTGGGCTGAGCCTCAGAATCACTTGGAGAAACTGTTATAAATACAAAATTCAAATTCAGTAAGTCTGAGGTGAGGCCTAGGAATCTGTATGCATCCCGTGTTATTCTAATGAATATTTTGAGTATTAACACCTTGGAGTGTGACTCTCCTGGGGTATGTGCATTTTACAAGATTTTACCAATCATGGAACTTAGGATGCCAGACAGCAGGTAAGGGAGAGATTGAAAAGGTAGTGGGAAAGAATGGAGGGGACATGAGGCCTTTGTTCTTTTGAAATGACACCAAACTCCTCCTCAGTGTCACCCTGTGTAATGGGGTAGTCAACAAGAAAGATCAAGATGCAGCCCTGTGTTTTGTGGCTCCTGGTGGCCTGTGCAGGGCCATCTGCATAGATGGTTACCCTCCCCCCGCCTTGTGTGGCCAAGCCCTATCTGCCTCTGATCATACCATGCCGTTTGTAGATCGGGGGTTTCCGGTAGATGTTACTGTCTCCAGCTGCCAGACAGGCCAGGAAGGGACAGTGGGGAGGGGAGAGAGAGAGAGACAGGAGAAAAGGAGACAGTACTTGGTCAGTTGATCTCGGAAGAGAGAGATGGGCAACAACTTTTTCCAAGGGGCCACTATGTTTCCCCTGGTGACTTCCTCTTCCAAAGTTGAACTTCCAACCTCGTCTCAACAGGTTCCAAGTAAGGTGCGGGGAGAGGAATGGATGGATCGAAGTGGTGCTGAGGAAGGGACCTGGGGCTTGAAGGGCGAGCATGCAGTCACGGGGTGTGTGTGCTCAGCAGAACCCCATGCAGGAAGGTGTCCACTGCCTCCACCAGTGGCCACACCTCATTCCATGTGAAAATCCCCAGGATGCTGCAGCCGAATTTCAGCTTGCCCCCCTCCCCCTCCCTCAAAGACAGACAGGATGGGACCCATCTAGGGCAGCTGAGGAAGGTGTAGATGAAACAGCAGCATGAGTCTTGAAGGGAAAGTGAGTGGGGAGTGAAAAACTGAGCTTGGTGTCAGGAGACTGGGGTCCAGGACTGGCTCTGCTGTGACTCAGAGGGAGACCTTGTCCAAACCACACCTATTCGGTCATTTAGCCCCTGTCTTCCTCTCAGTTCCTATTGCGACCTGCAGTCACATGACATTATAGCACTGTTCCCTCTGCCTGGGATGTCTTTCCTTAGCATCTTCACAAGCTGGCTCCTTCTCATCTTTCAGCTTTAATGTTACCTCCTCCAAGAAGCTGCTCCTGACTGCCCCATCTAGCCTGGCCTCTCTCAGACCTGTTATCTCAGGATGGCCTGTTTCATTTATGTTTATGGCATCTATCACTACCTGAAATTATCCTCTATGTATTTGTTAACTCATTTATTATCTCTCTCCCTACATTAGTACGTAAATACCAAATACCACGAAGGCAAGATCTGGGCTGGGTTGAGCACAGCTGCAACCTCTGGGCCCAGAACAGTGCTTGACGATACAGAAGGAATATCAGAGGCTTGGGAAGCCAAGTAACTGGCTCACAGTCACGAGCTTATAAGCAGCTGTGTCAGATTCCATCCCAAGAGTTTTGAAGTGAAAGCCTGTGGCCTTCACTGCTGTGTGCTCCTCCTGAGCTCCTCACAGACCTCAGACATTCAAGGCATCTCACTTGAGCTCCCTGCCTCTTTTCTCCCTGGACTGCTTCTTTGAGGTTGTAATGGAGATTGGTTCTGTCAAGTGGATGAACTGAAGCCCGTGGATGTGTTGGGGCTGGAGGACAGGGTTGGTGCAGGTGGTTGGTTAGGGAGGGTCCCTCAGGAACCAGCTTCTTGGTGCCTGTGTGGCATGGAGTGGGTGACTCAGGCACCTGTGACCCCATGGAGCATGCATCCATCCCAGGAATCCGGGCTGGCAGTGCCTACCTGGGATGTGAAAGTGCTTGGGAGCCTGGTAAGAGGTTGGAGTGGAGGACCTCACATCTAATTGGCTATGGTATGGAGAGCTCCGGCCACTCTCGGGCCCTGGAGCACGCAGGCAGTGGTCCCCAGAGAAAACAGAGGCACAGAGAAAACAGGCATTAACGCAGTGGCAGTTAAGGAAGCGGTGAGGTGATGACAAGAGGGATGGGGATGGGCTGGGGTTTCCCAGCGTGCTCAGGCTCCGGGGTGGAAGCAGCATGTGCTCTCATGCACCACGTCGTCAGAAACAAGCTTGACCTTGCTTCCTGGCTTGATCCCAAAGTCAGGTTTTGTGAGGTGTGAAGATCAACTCCACCCAGCTCCAGGAAGACATCTTAGTTTTTCCCTCTTAACCATCCCTGAACCTCCCCTTTCCAGACCCTCCCTTAACTGCTCCTTTCCTCCATCCGAGTGCTGGCTTCATCCCCAACCTCAGGTGAGTGTGGATGGCCTGACTGAATTGGCCCTCAGGTGAAGGCCAGTCCATACCCACATATCAGGTCTCTTGGTTCTGCCCTCTGGATTGGGCAGGGCATGAGGATGGTGGAGTCTTCTTCCAGCCAGGGCCATAGGGCCACCTGCCAGCCCCCTCTCCTGGAAGCTCACCACCCACCTTCCTGCTGCTTCTCAGTACCACACCCTCCTCCATCCCTCTGCCATCTCAGGGACTCAGAGAGGCCCAGCTGGTCACCTGGGTGGCCACAGATCTCTAGAGGGCTACACTGTGATAGAGATCTTGGGGAGCCTTGTGCTCTCTGCAGCAGAGACCCCAAGTCACTGCCTTGTCTCCCTGCCTCTTCCTCTCTCTTCAGGGCTCCCCACTTCCTTACCAGAGCGGTAGTAGTGGTGAGGTGAGCGGGAGAAGGTGGGGGACATGCCCTGCCGGTTGTAGGTGGGGGAGTCTATGTACCCCGGGCTGGAGGCCCGTCTCTGCCGGAGATCCAGGTTCTCATAGATGTCCTGGGGGAGGAAATGGGGCTGTGAGCAAGGCTGGCTGTTAAGTCGGCCTGTGGCCCGAGGGTCTAGCAGGCAGGTAGGCATGACATGGAATCTGGGATTCCAGGGGTTGAGGCATGAATACAGCGACCCCTCTCCCTGAGTTACCCACACAGCCTGAGGAAGATGGCAGGGAATTTCCAGGGCTTTCCCCTATAACTTGCAGGCCCTTGAATGGAATCCATGGGTCAATCCCTGGAATCCTGACCAGGGATCCCGAGAGTCTGAGGGAGGCCATCTCTGGGCAGGAAGGGCATATTTCCATCCTCTACGCACTGCCACTTCCTCTGCGACATGCACCCGAGTCTCTCCAGTGCTCCCCTGCTTGCGAGGAGCACCTTGGACAAGGACTCGTACAACTTGGGGGTGACTGGGGATGGGTGAAGTCAGCATAAAGGAGCACAATTTTATATCAGTGTAATTCTCTATCATCTGAATTACCTGGGAGTAGGGAGATAATGTTCCCAGCGACTTAGAAGTGAAGAGTTTAAAGGCAGTTGTGGAACCAGCAGAAGGAATGAGAGGAGCACGAAAGAAAGGACAGAGCATGGTTAGACATCACGGCAAAGAAGACCTGAAGCATCCCCTTGGTACCCCTCTCCAGATAACAGTCTCGTTGCGAACTCCAGAGGGTCAGACTGCTGATAGGAGGCAGAAAACCTCAAGATTATGCCGGCCTTTTAGGATGGGAAAAACCAAGGCCCAGAGAGGGAATGCGAAGGCCCAGGGCCACTCAGGGTGGAAGTGGCAGGACTTGACTTGGACACAGGCGTCTCTACTGCATGCTCAGGGCATTGTCAGCACACTTCCCTGTCTCTCTACTGGTTCATGACCCCTCTGCAGTTCATGAGGACAACACCCAGTGCAGGGCACCCAAATATATGGCTAAGCAGGGGCCAGGCTGCTGCCATCAACGAAGGAGTTGAGCTGGTGGCTGGGGCAGCAGCTGGAGATAGGATGTCTCCACGGAAGAGGGCAGCGGCTCCTCAGCTCCAGCGGCTGGAATGCCTGCCCAGCATTTACACAGCATCTTAATTTTCCAAGAAAGTCAGAAATGCAGATTCTTATGTGAAATCTCCCAGTGTTTACATGTTGACAACTAGTTTTCATTTTCAAAAGGTACTTTGTGAGTGAAACAAAACAAATCTGAGGGCTGGCTGCAACTTGTGGTGGGACCTGGTTTGCCATCTCTAACTGAAGGATAAGTGGCTTCTACTAAACACTTGATCCTCCACTCCTAGTCCATTTTAGGGGCTAGAAACCAGAGAATCTCAGCATTGGGTTCCTTAACCAAATGGAACCCAGATGACTTAGAGAGGAAGGGGACTTGCCTGAGGTCACAGGGCTAGTTACGGTGGAGCTGGGACAAGAACCTGGGTCCCTGCCCACCAGGACAGGCTTCTGCTGCCCCAAATTAACTCAAGGGGCCTGGGATAAGGTTAGAAATCTTCTAGGATATAGACTGGTAGGACCTTCAGAGTAATTCTGCCCTCCACTCCCCTGCCATCTCCAGAGAACACTTTCTCTTATTACCAACCATTTAATTATTTCAAAAGCCATCTGTTAACTGAGTCTTCATAAAAGTGTCTCTTCAAAGGAAGAGATGCTGGGACTAAAGGCCAGGTGCAAAAACCAGAGAACATGCCTAATCAGGGATTATAAACCTAAATGGCCATTGAGCCCGGCAGGAGATGAGTGCCTTGGGCTGAGTACATGAAAAATTCCTACAGGATAAGAAATACGACAGCTTGAGTAATAAATGGTCACAGGCTCTCAGCTTCAACGCTGGGATTAACAGGGAGTGGGGCAGCTGGGGAGAATGGGAAGCTCATGTCCTGTCTAGAGGGGGTGCTGCTACCCATCTCCAGGTGGTGGAAATATAGGTTTAATGTTGTCAGCTCTGATTTTTCAACAGAAGCCAGAAAGCCAAATTTTGGGATGAAATCTCTTCATTTTAAAAATACTTGGTCTTAAATCCCCATTTAGAAGAGTCTGGGAGCCAGCATTGTGGAGGACAAACAGTCTGTGATGGAGAGGGCTGGGGACCCCGATGGAAACTCCTTTCCTACAACAGCCCCAGAGAGAAGGGCAAGATGCGATACCTCTCCATAGCCACATCTCTCCAGCATCTCGTCGGACGTGTATCTGGAATGAGGCTCATAGGAAATGAGGTCAGGGCGTTGTACCTCGTAGATGGACTTAACCTTGGGGAGAGCCGCCAGGTCTTTGTAATTAAGGATCTCATTATCCACTTTAGCCTAGGGAAGAGGGAAACCGACAGGAAAGGAATAGAAAGATAAGAGGGAAAAGGGAATGGAGAGAGGAAACAAAAACAAGATGCAGAAGGAACAAGCGTCTCCAGTTTCCACTAAAAACAGAAGATTAGGATCCAATTCAAGAATAGTAGAATGTTAGAATAAGAGTGGTCTTAGAGGCCATCCATTCCAACAGGGCTAACATTTACTGAGCACATATTGTTTGTGAGGCCCTGTGCTTTGCAAGAATTATCTCCTCTAAATGTTGTAATGCCTCCGTGAAGTAAATGTCAATATCATTTCTATTTTCCAGCTGAGGAAACAGAGGCTCAAAAGGTTATAAAATTTGCACCACTAAGCTAATAAGTTTGAATTCAGCCTGAACTACACAGCCTGGGTGCTGACTGCCTTCCAGTCCCACAGCATGAGGACATCCCAATTCACCGCATCCTTGAAGAAGATGATGAAGATTGTAAAGACAAAAATAATCATGATAGTATAACACTAGCTAACATTTGGTGAACACTTATTACAAGCCAGGCTCTGTACCAAGTCCCTTTATAGATTAAGTCAATTCAGCCATACAACTCACAACTCTAGTAGTAGGCACTAACATTATCCTCATTTTGAATAAGCAACCAGAGGCACAGAAAAATCAATTAACTTGCCCAAGGCTACATAGCTAATAAGTTGCAAGAACCCAAATTTCAAAACAGAGCGTGCCCTCTTCAGCAGCCTCTCCTATCTTCTTGGGACAGGTGTTCACTGTCTTACACCACCAGAAGGCTGCCCTCAGAAAGCTGCTCCTTCCATTGAACTGAAATGAGTGTCTACCTTCTGCTTGACTTTGGCAGCGTTCAGCCCTCTAGAGCTGCATAGACTGAATTATAGTTTCCCCTTGCATGTGACAGCTCATGTCTCATGGCTCCTGAAGCCATGTCCTTTCCATGACCATGTCCTCCAGCTGTTCCCTCTGTGACCTGGTGTTTGCTATGATCAACCAGGATCTGTTTTGCAAGGTCCTGAGGTACTGTAAACTATGACAGGGGCTGCTGGATAGAGAATCCAGAGACTATATTAGTCTGATAATGTTCTCCCAAAGCCATTGGAGCCAGCTACAGTCTGAGGGCCAAGACTACTTTACAGGGAGCGGCATTCATAAATACCTAATAAGCTGTGCTATTTAAAAAAACCCACCAAGGCCCTTCCACTATTCTATCCCTGCCCCATCAGCACTGCAATTAGGGCAGTGTTGCTTATTCTCATGCTGCTTATTCTCTGTTGCCCCTAGACCCAGTGTTCACCCCCCTTGCCTGGATCTGTGCCCTGAACACCACCTGGGCTGCATCAAGTTTCTTTTTCTCTATGGCTTTCAGTTGGGTTTAGCCAATGGGATGCACCAGCAGAGACTAGAGGGTGAATGGAGAGAGAGGCTGGCATACTTATTCCCCTGGCAACCTTCCTGTCTGGCTGTGGGCTGGGCCCAACTCTATCTGGAGGCTGGGCTTCCCCAGCTCCTGCCAGCTTTGGTAATGCTGTTCCCTTCCCTTGTCTCTCTAGGTCCAGCGTGGTAACAATGTCATGCTGCTGTAGTCCCTGGATACCTCACTATCTCCTGTGGGTCCACTTAACCCTGCCCACACCTCCATCATGAAACCCTCCTCAGTTGAACTCTTTGAGGTAGGCCACCTGATTTCTGCCAGAGCCTGCCTGGTACAGATACCCACATCTGCACCAATTCTGGGAGTGTGTGGGTAAAGGGAGTCTTTATTAGCTGAGAGTCCACCTGCTGAAGTAATTGTTGCCTTTTGTCTTGGGTGTTAGATCTTGACCTTGAGAGCTCTTGGCATCTTCCAAACTCATCTCCACTCATAACTATTCATCTTGGCACCTTACCCCAAACCTCAAAAATACTAAATTTATATTTCTTCCTATAGCCACTTTGTTTATGGGGCTATAAATGAGCCTCTGGTCCCAAGGCATACCAATTGATCAGAGGCGTCCTAACATAATTAGCCAGGAAGAAAGGAAGGAAGGAAGGAAGAAAACACATGGGTCAAAGCCAAACCACCTGAAGATGATTCTAGAAGTCAGTGGAGACAGAGTGAAGTTTGAAAGTTTGAAAGAACCTGCTCATTTCAGGTTCACTAATTCTACTTGAATATAAAATCTCAAGTATCTATGAAAATCAAATTAAGATCCACCTTTATGCCAGTTATTGCATCTCTCTGAATCAGGTGAATGATTTTTTCTTTTTTTAAATTTGGAAGCCATGCTTGGGATGGGCTGACTAAAATCATGGCTTCCATGACATGTTCAGTCATTCCCCAGAGCAGCTGAGCACGAGGCACCATAAACGCTAAGAACAGGAGAGGCTGGAAGGGGAGACACATGCCTGTGCTAGGATGTGAGGGACAACTGGTCTCAGTGTGTAAGCCCCTAGTTGGAAGGCACAAGCACAGGTATTCCCAGCTGCTGTCATAAATTCCATTCTGTAATGGAGTTGCTTCTCACAGGGGCAATTCTGGGAAACTTTCTCCAGGACTCCAAGGTGAACATCATCAGGGCTTAACTTATCTCACAAAGATTAACAAGGCTCCTCAGTAGCACTGGGAGACTGGCTCGTGGTGAACAGTATTACAGTACAGCAGCTTCCTGAGGTCTCCTGTCCTAGTAACTCTCTTCTGGAAACATGCTCACATTTGTCAATAATATCCTCACTGTGCATGCCTGGAAACTAAGCCCATTAATCCTGCCATGGTCTGGTCCCATTCATAGTGCCAGGGAGACTATCACCTCTCTTGCTTTAGACAGGAATCTTTAATGAGTACACCCTGTGATCAAAGCAGCTTGTCTTTTTTGACAGCCACATGGTAGTATTGACCCATGTTGAAATTTCAGTCAGTGATAACTCTTAAGTGTTTTTTTTGTTTTCCATTTGACCAGAGAAGAAAGGAAAGGTGCCTGTAGTCCCGTCAATGGCATTATCCAGGGATCAGAGAGGAGCCTTGATGTGGATTTGAAGTAATGATCTAGCAATGGTGGCAGGGCCAGGAGTGGCTGGCTTGGTGACTGTATCTAGAGCTTCTTGTTAGGAGTGGGTTTCTTGTTAGAGACCATTTTCCCCACATTTCTGGTCATCTTGCCTCCTTTGGCTTGTGGAAGGCTGGAACAGTCCAGAGTCAATCAGACTGAGGTTTGTTGCTCATTTCAGTTCTCCCTGGCTCTGCGTTCCCCACCTCCTTTACTTATTTCTGTTTATCCCTTTGCTTTGAGTTTAATGTTTTTTCCTTAGGATGCCTTCTCCCAACTAGTCTTAGGTTGTCAGGTCCCTCTGTTTATCTATAGCATCATCAGAGGACCCTGTGCTTTTCCTTTTTGGAATTTATAAATGCAATTGATGATTCAGGCATTATGTGTTCAGTGTCACAAGGACAGACATCAAGTCTGTGTAGTTCATCACCATTTCTCCAGAGCAAAGCACTGTGCTTAGCAGAGCAAATGCTTGGCACATGTTTGTTGAATGAATGAATAAATGAATTAATGAAATATACAAGGGGCCTCTGAGACCATCTAACTCAGCTTCTGTCTTTTCTTCTACACCCCTGGCAAAGGATGAGTCTCTCTGTGTTTGAATGCCTGCAGAGGTGGGAGCTCAGACATGTGAAGGTGGGTTTACTTCATCCCTGGACTTCCCACATGATTAGAAAGCTCTTCTTTACATTTGCAAATTATTTACAACCATGTTTCCACATGTGTATGGCTTACTTCTCCTTTCTGCCTCTTTATCACACACCACTGTCTCCACATCGATAATCCACCCAATACCTACTCAGAATACCACTTTGACCCTCAGTTTTTTCTTGCTTGTCTCAGTTAAGTAGTGGGAAAGGAGGTGCCTCGCACTGGTTTTAGAACTCATCAAGGGCTCTTGCTGTCATTGCACTTTCTTTCTCGTGCGCCATGGAACTCTACATTATCTCTGAAACTCTGGGTTCACTAGACTGTGTGCTTCATAAGGGCAGGATCTATGTCCTCCCTGTACTGCACTGAATCCTCAAGACCTGGTACAGAGCCTAGCACATGAAGAGCCTGCATCAAATGCCAGTTGGATGAAAACCCGACAGCTCCCTCATCCTTAGCGACTCCTCTTTAGATACCAGGTCAGGAGTAAGAAAGGCCCTTTGGTGGTAGAAAAGTGATACATACGCAGATGACTCGGTTGGGTGACCCAATGCTGGATCCAGGTGGTGAGATGGAGGTTTCAGATGTCCGTCTATGCTGCAGGACAGATGAAGACAGAAGAGGTGAGAAGCTGCAACCCCAGCTTGGTGGGAGGGTGAGACGGGGGTTAAAAATGCAACATTAGCAATACCATTAAAGTACTCCCTGACTACTTCTGTACTTTCCCTTACTCTCTGCCTTTTAAGTCAAGGTCTGTCAATTCACTGAGTGTGAATGAGACCTAAAATGCAAGGACTTCAGGCTATTGGGGCGGGATATGGATTTATTTTCTATGTATTTGCAGCTAGCACTCTAAATAGGAAATTACTCATAAAACTTTTCATTTTGAGTTATCCCAGTTAACGTATTTACTTAAAAAAATAAAATTGGTTAGTATTCATTGCTGGGGAGTTTGTTTATTCAAGATGTGAAAGTGTGTTAAACTTCATGTCATTGTACAACATGCTGACTCTTTACAGTGTATCAATTGCGAATTGACATCAAGTTAAGTGATAAACTTAAAAAAAAAAGCTGTCTCTGAACAATAGCCATGATGGGTTAATAGCTTCCTTAGCAGAGCAGCATGATGTCAGTCTTAATGCATAGGAGGGTGCCTGCATGATGTAAAGGGATTGGGAATCAACGACCCACGGGTGAAGTGTGTGGTCTTAGGCATCCTGGATTCCTGACCTGCAAAATGAAGATGCTGAGCTTCAGGATCACTTGATTCTCTCCCAGTTTTCTCATTTTACAATTTAAATCATTCTAAGTGGGGCTATAAAGTTTCCTAAACTGTGGATTGTGAACTAGCGGTGATTCTGGGAAGAATTTAGGTGCAACATTTGATAATACTGAATCATAGAGCTAGAGAGTAAAATCTTTCAATCCCCTTGATTAGATCAAGAAGCCAGTCTCCATTTGGTGCTAACACATTTCAACAACTCTCTCAACAATTGCTTATTTCCTATTTTATTTTATTTTTGAGACAGTGTCTTGCTCTGTCACCCAGGCTGGAGTGCAGTGGCACAATCTCAGCTTACTGTGACCTCCATCTCTTGGTTTCAAATGATTCACCTGCTTCAGCCTCTTGAGTAGCTGGGATTACAGGCATGGGCCACCATGCCCAGCTAATTTTTGTATTTTTAGTAGAGATGGGGTTTTGCCATGTTGGCCAGGCTAGTCTCGAACTCCTGACCTCAAGTGATCTGCCCGCCTTGGCCTCCCAAAGTGTTGGGATTACAGGCATGAGCCACCATGCCCAGCCCAATTCCCCTTTTTAAACAAAGAGTGTGCAGGCAACATTGTCTAGCTAGAATTTAAAAGATTTATTCTTGAGAATGATTTCATTATCATTGAATTTATTTTATCATTACCTTCTATTTATAGCAAGTATTACTGGTTTCCACATGGCAAAATAAATTTTTATTTTAAAATACATTTAGTTAATAAAAAGTAGTGACTTGATTTCAAGAAAAATATTAAGTATATAATAAAACAGATGGTGCACAGATATGGCAACAGGCATCGGGGTTGTAGAGGATGACTGAAGTTTGGGAAATGCCACCCAAAAAGAGGAAAATGAAGAAAGGGAAAAGTAGGTCTTATACCTTAAATGGAAGAGGTCTTGGAAGAAACAGGAAAAGAAATTCAGGGCTCAAAAAATAGTTATACATCAACCAACTGGCTCTTCGAGAAAAATTTCATTAAGTGGATGAGATGGCAAAGAAGACATGTTTAACTAGCTGGTCAGAAGTTGTGCACTTGCTTTTCTAGTTGGGGGGACTCTAGCAGGTAACATAATAGCGTCCCAGGGCTCAACTTAATATCAGGGGACCAGGATGTAAAGGCCCCATTCCCCACACCCCAACACACACCCCAGGTGTCCCCTCACAGCTTCAAGGACCCAGAAGCTGGATCCCCCCTGCAGTTGGGGAGGCTCAACCCCTCTCTGCAGTGTCAGGAACCCAGGTTCACAAGCCTCCCTGACATTTGTTAGAGCACAGCAGTTCAGAGGGATGAAGGACCTCCACTGGCCCAGCATGTACCTGAGGATGTTGACTGTGCTTCTGTCTGGCCATGCTACTGCAGGCAAATCATTACCTCTTTAGACCTGGTTTTCTCACAGTCAAGGCAAAGATAAAATTCTTGCCCATCTGCCTCATGGGGTTAAAGAAATAAACTCAGACAGTGGCTGTTAAGAAGCTTTGTAAACTGTCAATTACTGTGACATTATTAACTATTACTTTTTTTTTTTTTTGAGACGGAATTTCACTCTTGTTACCCAGGCTGGAGTGCAATGGCGTGATCTCGGCTCACCACAACCTCCGCCTCCTGGGTTCAGGCAATTCTCCTGCCTCAGCCTCCTGAGTAGCTGGGCTTACAGGCACGCGCCACCATGCCCAGCTAATTTTTTGTATTTTTAGTAGAGATAGGGTTTCACCATGTTGACCAGGATGGTCTCGATCTCTTGACCTTGTAATCCACCTGCCTCGGCCTCCCAAAGTGCTGGGATTACAGGCTTGAGTTAACAAATGACCTCAGGCTGGGAAAAACCATGGCGGGAGCTCCTCAGGGAGGCCGCCTTCTTGGTCAGCAATGATAGAGTTACAGCCTTACCCTAGAAACACAAAACTCACATGAATACAGTGCTTTACAGTTTCAGAGTGCTTTCACATCCAGTGCCTTAACCCCCTCAAAAACCCCATGGGGCAGGTGTTACCATTAAGAAAATCCAAGGATATAGGCACACATTTGGGAGCGTGCACACTAAGGAATGCTGACCCTGTCCCAAAGCACAGCTCTCTTAACCTGCGGCAGAAAGTAGTGAAGTAGGAGTGCTGGTCTGGGATCTACGAGCTCGCTTACCTTTAACTTCTTCTCTGCCCGGGCTGCCTGTTTGCAGATGGGGTGCCAAACCTCGGAACCTAAGGGGTCAGGAAAATAAAGCAGGCTCAGACCTTTTAAACCCACCAGCATTCTGAGTCTCTCCCCAGGCCTCACCTTGATTTACTCCATGGTCAGCGTATGTCTCTTACACATCTGCCAGAAGGGCCCCTTTGGCTTTTCCAGCTCCCTCCTGGAACCTCTCAGATCTTTGCGACCACTCCTATCCTTTTTCTGTGTGTCTAAATCCTACCCATTCCTCAAGGTCTAGGGCTCACATGACATCCTCTTGCAAACTTTCTTACCTGTCAGTTGGGGGTGACTTCTCGCTCCTCTGTGATCCATAGTTCTTTGTCTCTCTTTCCACACAAACAGCCTTAAAGCATAGTAGCTTATAGATTTTTCATTCCCACTAAATCAACAGCTTCTTCTGGGCAGGGACTGGGCTTTATTCATTGCTACATCTCCCACAGTCCCCAGCACGGGATTTTTTTTCTTAGCAGAGATCCGTACGTGTTTGTGGGGTGAAAAGATGAGTGGATGATTGGTAGTGAGTGACACATAGCAGGTGGTCAATAAATATTTGTCGAATGAATAAATGACAGCATGGATAAAAAAGAATGACAGAGCATGGTGAGCTCCAGCCTTCTTTTCTCCTAAAGACTTAGCTACCACATTTGAGGAGGAGGAGGTGTCATGGTGTATATTCCACTTGAGAGCATTGCCTTGACCTGCTAATTCCTCAGAGACTCCAGACTCTTCAAATTCACTATACCACTAATGCCCACATTTTATTGGGGGCTGGGGGTCTAGTTGGCCAACCCCAAACCCAAAAGGCCAATTTGGAAAGGCATGAGCAACAGGTGGCTGGTCACATGTTGAGAAGCAGCCCCAAATATGACACATTCCCCAAAGAAGGGACAGGTGTCCTGGATTAGAAGGAAAAATAGGAACATATTATCCCTCTGGAGACATTCTCCTTGTAACCAGCCCTAAATGGAAAGGAGCCAGCAATGGCTGGATTCCTGAGCACCCAGATGGCATTTGTTTGTCTGACTTTGTTTCTAGGATATACTTATATACTTTCTACTATGCTTTGTTGCCTGGAACCCCCAGGACTAGAATACTGGCTAAGGGATGAGATGGTGGTGAAAGGTCAATAATTCAAGTGAAAAAGAGAAGAAAGGACTGAAGTGAGGAGGCTTGTGTTTTTTGTTTTTGCTCAGCCCCTAACACATCCTCTCTCTGGGTCCCAGTTTCCTTAATTGAAGAACAATAAGGTGGGATTTGGATGGTCTTGAAGGTTATTTTCATAAGATTCTAATTCTACGGGCAGTTTTGTTTTTTGTGGAATGGGAATCTTTGAGTTTTGTCTGCTGACATTCTTGGGTGTTCCTAATTATTCAACTGAGTTTAATTCCTTCTAAAGTAAAATGCAATGGTTCTCAAAGCCCAGCAGAGGGACTCTGAGTCTGTGGCTTGATCCAGCAATCACAGGGTGTGTCCACTATCAAGCTGTGTGCGGGGATCCCTACTTCAGGGTGTTATTAGAGAGAGCATTTCCAGTTCCTCTCTGAGTTGCTCCTGAATCTACCAGGAATTGTTTATGACTGTGGCTCTGGCAGGAAACACATGTTACAGGTCACTGTAGGAAATGGATGAGATGGACACAGAGGTCTGAGAAGATCATAAGCTTAAGTTAGAGAGGCATAGGAAAGATCAAGGGAGCAGAAGTCCTCATGGGGGGAAATACTGTGTCAAGTGAGGGGGTCAGACTAGAGGGTCTCCCTTGCTTTCTAACTCTATGACATTGGCATATCCTTCTGAAATAAAACTGAGCCAAAATTGGTCATTAGCTTTAGCATTCTGCATACAGAAAAACATATTTACATAAGAATCGAGCAGGGGAAATCAAACAAGAAAAAAAAAATTAGAAATGAAAAAAATCAGAATTTGGGAGTTGGTAGCGGTATACATGTAAATAAAAGGCTAAAAAAAGTTAGTTGGTAGCTAGCAATAGACTTAAGTAAAGAATGCAAGAAAAGATGATTTGTTCAGGAAGACCACTGTGAAATTACAGTCTTCTGAGCTTATTCCCTTGACCAATAGCTCAATAACGTGACATTAGCAGAAAGATAACATCATGGTAAAGAAGATGGTTATTCTCTTCTGCGGATTTTATCCTCAGAGCCAAAAACAGTGCCTGGCCCATGTGTGTTTAATAAAGAAATATATGTGAATGACTCATTAGACCCTACCTTTGTTTTTTTCTTTTTTCAGAAAGATACTAGGTAAATGCATTCACAGGAGGATGGTGACCATCTTAGGAAGGGGACTCAAATGCAGTCCTAAGGCTGGGTCTTTACCCTGAAGAAGAGACTGAACAGAATGGTGAAAACTGGTTTTGAAGATTTTAATGACTCTCTGTAGAAGGCATTCATTTGTTTTGCAAGTCTTATAAAGTAGAACTAGGACTAAGGGGCAGAAGGTTCAGGGAAGGAACATTTAACACCTAAGAACTGAATGGCCGTATTCAGCTGACAGTGAGCCCCTTGTTCCTAGCAGTGTTTAAGTACACATTGAGTATATAAATGCTCAGCAAGGATATCAGGAAGGAGACTCAGCACACAGTACTTACCCTAAGGGATGCTTAGCCCCCCAAATCCCTAGAGATTCTGTTTCTATCTTAACAGGTTTTACTGTACAGAGAAGATAATTGTTCGCCCCTATCCATTTATCCTGATAAGAATGTAAATTCTATGAGGAGAGGGATTCATGTCTGTCTTACCTACAGATACATCTGCAGACTCCAGATTCTCAATAAATACTCACTGAGTGAATAAATAAACAAAAGAAACATGGCATTCTACCCTACACAGTCGGCTTCTCTAAGTTGGGCTCAGAGATTTGAACAAATAGTACCATCTGGACTCTGAGAAGACAGCGAACACCCCAGATTGAGTCTACAAGCATATTCGCTATATTGGGGTGTGTCAAACTGTGACCTGTGGACCATCTGTCTTGCAGCCTTGTAAAATTCAGATTCCTGGGCCCCCTGCAGAAGCCACTGATGCCAACTCCAGGAGGTGGTTCCTGGGAATCTGTGATTTAATAAGCTCTCCAGGTGATTTTATGACTCCTAATTTGAGAACCATAGGGCTAAATACCAGATAACACTCTAACTTGGAATGTTATGTGATTAAGAAACCAATTTTACAAGACAGAACTCAAACTTTTTGTAAGAGTACAACATTTTCTGCTTGTTCAACCCTTGGTTCCATGAGTCACATTCTCCTGTCGTCTGAGATTGTCACCCACACTTCCAGGCTCTGCAGTTAAACCTACTATGAAGGTTACGGAAGTGAAGGATTAGCTATTTCTGTATCAGCTGACTCAAAGATAGAGATGTGAATCTCTAAAACTACCTCTCAGCCAGGTATTAAGGCCATTTTTAATCCTTAGCAGAGTCAGCAGCCAGTCTTATCTCTCTGACTGGTTATAGCACACACCACACCTGTAACATTTGGCGCTGATGTAATATTGGGGAGGCCAATGCTTTCTGTTTTTCTTTCTTTTTTTCTTTTGAGATGAAGTTTCACTCTTACACAGGTTGGACTGCAATGGCACGATCTCTGCTCAATGCGATCTTGGCTCATCACAACCACCTCCGCCTCCTGGGTTCAAGAAATTCTCCTGCCTCCAACTACTTAATAGTTAGGATTACAGACATGCGCCACCACACCCAGCTAATTTTGTATTTTTAGTAGAGACGGGGTTTCTCCATGTTGGTCAGACTGGTCTCAAATTCCCGACCTCAGGGGATCTACCCGCCTCAGCCTCCCAAAGTGCTGAGATTACAGGCATGACCCACCATGGCTGGCCAGTGCTTTCTGTTTTTTAATGCCAAAGCTGGAGCTGGCATCACAGTCTTCTAGAACGTTGGCATTTTAGAGGTTACAAGCACAGTGGCTGAAAGTGGTCCATTGGAAGGTTCTGTTTGGTGAGCACTATGATTTTAAACAGTCTGAGTCTGAAGGTTTTTAAATACTGCAGGTCACCAGTGACCCTCCCTAGTTTCTGACTCCCAGTCCTTCCCACTCCTTGATGTCAGCATTTGAGTTTTTGGCCTTGACCCTAGCTAGGGCATTCTCTTACAGCAGGTTTCCTCTCTGGATTTCTTTTCATCATAGCAGGATGAGGTTTCTCAGACTTCTGCCTTTATGACAGCAGCACTATCTTTGTGGCAATAAACTGGGAGGAACCCTGGAATTGCTCCTTTAAAATCTCCATGCACATAAACCAACCCAAATGGCCATCAATCAATGAGTAGATAAAGAAACTGTGGTATGTGTGTGTACATATATATATGATGGAATACTACTAAGCCATGAAAGGAACAAAATAATGGCATTTGCAGCAACCTGGATGAGACTGGAGACCATTATTCTAAGTGAAGTAACTCAGGAATGGAAAACTAAACATCATATGTTCTCACTTATAAGTGGGAGCTAAGCTATGAGGATGCAAAGGCATAAGAATGACACAATGGACTTTGGGGATGCAGGAGGAAAGGATGGGAAGAGGGTGATGGATGAAAGACTGCAAATTGAGTGCACTGTATACTGCTTTGGTGACGAGTACACCAACATCTCACAAAACACCACTAAAGAACTTACTCATGTAACCAAACACCACCTGTTCCCCCATTACCTAGGAAATAAAAATTAAAAAAAAAATACAATCCCCATCCACATAAACAAATGTGGTAGATCCAAAAATGGAATATTGTTCAGCCATAAAAGATTGGTGGTTGCCAGGGGTTGGGGGAGAGGGGAACGGGAAGTGACTCTTTAACGGCATGTATGGAGTTTCCTTCTGAAGTGATGAAAACGATTTGGAACTAGACAGAGGTGGTGGGTGTGCAACATTGTGAACGCATTAAAAGCCGCTGAATAGCACACTTTATATGAGGATTTTACAAAAACATAAAAAATTCCCCACTCCTCTCCTCCCAGCAGGTGAACTGCTTCTAGAGACCAAG